AGGCAGTGCCAACAGCAGCAAAACATATCCACCATGGAATTTTAAAAGTAGAGATCTGAAAATATTTTAATCAGTCAGATTCATATCTGTAATATTATAAAATTAGTTTTGTAAAACTGTATAAATTTTTATATTTTAATATTAGGATTATTGAATTTTAAAATATTTTCAAGAGAAAATGAGAAATCGTTACAAGTAACTGAATAAATATAAATGTTTTGATAGCTTATTGAACTTTTAAATAAGTAATACCCATTTTCACATGCCACTTTATTTATTGATAGGTAATGCATTTCATAATATAAATCGATAATTTTATTAGATTTTAAAGTTCTTACTTCTAGTTTCTCCAATAAAATGTGTTCATGCGATGAATCTAATTTGTCTTCAGACATATAAAATGATTTCTCTCCAAGAGTATAACCGGCTTGTTTATTGATGATGTGAGTGCACTGATGACCTATAAAATAAAATTTGAACGAAATTAAATTATACTCCACCTGATTAAAAATTGTATATATTAATTTAATATAAAATAAACGAAGAATTGTAAAAATTATAAGTTTGTTTAACAAAATTTTATATTAAAAATTTATATTTAGATACTAAAATAAAGCATTTTAAGTACCATTTTATTTAATAAAACTTAAAAATTTATTATATTGAAAAATTTAAATAAAACTTTAATCTTATGACTTCAAAAAAACTAATACACCGAATTATAAAACAGTGACTATTAATAGTCTACATTGACGCTATAATTTATTATAAAGATTTAAATAATTTGTGATAAAGCTTATTATAAAGATAAAAAATTAATTTTAAATTCTTTATAATAAATTTTTATAATATTTTTTATACATTATGTTAATTATCAGCCTATTTATCATTCGTTTTCTCTATATTATTTATAATGCATATAACTAAAAGGATATATGATTCGTTTCACATCATAACTTATAAAATTCTAAAACTGTAGGAAAGATTGCCATTATAAAATTGTCATTCCGCATAATAGTTTACATTGTTTAAATATTTTAAATATGAATTAGTAAAGCAAATTATTCACTTTCTAAATGAAACGAAACTTATTAACTTAACTAAACAATATAAACTTTAATATTACTTATTTTGTTCAAACAAAACATTTTAAATTATTATTATTTTATTCATTTTAATTATATATAAACAGATTAGACATTAAATTGAACAGACTGGTCATTAAGCAACGAAATAATTAACATAATTTATTTTATCATTTTAAATATAACACTTTAAATATATCTTGAATTATTTGTTTAATAAGTATTTGTGGTAAGAAGGTTTAAAAAAAATTATAGAGTTTATATTTAGTTTATAAATAGGATAATTTTTTGAATATAAAACGTGTTAAATAAACTTCTCTTTAAACGCTAAAACTTTTACTAATAATTTGTATTGATTTATCTGAATTATATATAACATATAACTGAGTCATCAAGAAATACAGAAAAAGAGTAATACATGATGTGATAAGCAGAAAAAGTTGTACATAATAAGTGTTGTAATCAATGCATAGAATGCAATACTTTAAACAATTATTAGAAAGCGAAATTTTACGCTGCATTTTAATGAATTAATATTTAGGAATTTCTAAATCTGTAAATGAAAGATATTTGTTACAAAGTCATTTCCTCTACATAAATAGAATCTAATGAAGAATTTATGAAACATCAAAATAAAATCATTCTAAAAATTATGCCACTTTTCCATAACTGGTTTTAAAACTTTGAATTATTTTATGCATTCTACAAGCCTGTTCTCTCTCTTCTTATTAGATAGATTTATGTCTTTGTCTATTTATTATTAATTAATATACAAGTCTGGTTCACAAATGTCTTTGTATTTCACATTGCATCTATAAATTTAGTTATGAAATTAAAAAACAAATTATTAACTTTTAAATTTTTGCACATATATAAATATTTGTATGTAAATATTCTTTCCAGCAATGTCCTGTCAAATTAGTTATAACGTATAGAATCCATAATCCTATTTTATGGTTTAATATGCACAATATTATTCTGTTCAAGTAACTTATGTTTACAGAAGTTACTTAAACATTCCATCAAATATATCTTATGTACAGTAAATTAATATAAAACTGCCAAGAAGAAACTTGAGTAATTCTTGTAACGTAATTCTTTATTATTTAATCTTTAATATTTAAATAAATTTTTCTTATGTTTGATAAAGTTTTAAAAAATTAAAAATTTAATCTACTATCTATAATTTAATAAAAATCTAAATATAAAAATAAGATTTCTGAAAATATAGTTTTTCTTTGTTGTTGTAAGATCAAAATCGTCAGAAAAGTTATAAAATTGTTTCAGGTTTTAGAAAACAACTATTTGTATTCATCAATTTTAAACAATGAAATTCACTTTATGTCAAAATTTACATAAAATTTAAAATCGAATTTGACGATGGATAGAAAAGATAAAATTATCTACAATGTAATTGCTGTTGTCCGAACCAGATGTTAAAGTGACGACGCGACTCACACTTACCTCCAATCGATCTTGTACAGCACTTCCCTCTATGAATCAAGCAGATCACCACAATCAAATTTACCATTACTAAGGCAGTGCCANGAACTTTACTAAATGAATTTCTTTTTCATTAATTTCTTAAAAGTTTTTTCTTCGAATATAAAAAAACTTTTGAATGATTAGAAAAGTAATTAATTCGATTCAGCAATTTTCTAATCATTGAATAAGCTTCATTAACTTTCATATTTCGCATAGATTAAAGTTATTGTGAAGTAAATGTAATGCATACATATAATTGATTTTCTTTCTTCGATATTAGAGTAATTTCCGGTAAAATTTAAGAAAAGAATTTCGTAATGAATTTATGAGTATCATTTCTAACAAACTCACAATGAATAACTAGAACACTTTTCACTATGATATTTGTTAAAGTTATTATATCTTTTTATAAGGTAGTGGAAACTTACACGATGAGAATAACTAACTTTTAATTAATAAAATTAATTAAAAATGCATTTTAATCTGTTCAACTTTCTTCAGTTGCTGCAGGCTTCAAATTCTACCATCTTTTCAACAGATCTGTCGTCAGGAATTCTTTTAATTTACATAGTGTACAAATACTTTAGTATTCATTGCCCTCAACAAAATAACACAGATTAAAAATCCATTCAGTTTTTTCAGTAATACGTTCTGCTATTACTTACTTAAAATAATTACAATTAGGAAATTTCTAACGTTAAATACCTGTACATTACAAATATAAGTATCACGATAATTAAATTAACAATATTATAAAA